GATGTGTTAAAATATATATATAATATCTAAAGAAATACTCTTCTGTTTCAGAGTTCCTGTCTCCATTGCCAGAAAGACTGGATATTGTATTCCACTGATAGTCTTCTTGAAAAGACATATAAATCCCTGAAATCCTTTCTAAATAATTTAGAGGAGCTGGGTATAGGGAAAGTTAATGTCTTATTATAGTAATTTTATTAACATGAGATGATAAATTTAATGAACCTTGAAATATTATCTTATGTAGTATTAAAGGCAGTATTTGCAGTGCAAGGGGCGTGAAAACATCTCTAACAGTCTGTATTGTAGAATGTAAACGCGGTATATGAGGTGAAAGTAGCTGCAAGGTCCTATTAAGTTCTGATATTAAAGAAATAATCGAGACATTGTAATATATATTAAAAGTTATTAAAAAAGTTCTAAGATTGAGGCTTCAGGGGAAAGGATCTCTGTAAATATTATAATATAACTGTAATTTAGATGCCTAGCTTGTATATATTTGTCAAGAAACTTGGTATACATAGTACAAGAAAAATTTATCTGGGTTTTCTTAATATATATATGTAATAATTTGATCGCGGCTTGTAAAGCAGTGGATGCCCGATAGTCAGAGATTACAGATATAAAATAATAAAGAAGATGGTACTTCTTATTATCTTAAGTAAGATGTCCTCGGATAATATAATATAATAGAACTGCCGTATTGTAGGATCCAATGTAGTCAGAGTTATAGAAACTAACATCTGTCTTTATTAAATCTATTTCTTGTGGCAGTCTGTGCTACTACTAATACCAGAGTCGAATCGCAATTCCTATGACAGATCTGGAAGGGTTGGTGTTGTCAAGAAAATCAACTGCGTCCTCTGCTCAGTATGTATTTCTTCGAGGATAAAATCAAACTATTTCTTCTATTATTCTGTAATATTATCTGGCGGAATACTTAAATAACGCGCAACGATGGGACTTGGGGGCCAGCGGGCAGCCTGGAATCTGCAGCTAAATATATGTATCCCAGAGTGGACTTCTTGCATTGTCTTCTTTTCAACAGTATACTCTGTCTGAAGGTCTGAAGGTAGAGTAATCCTAGTAGAAGTATTAGGTAGTATAATAAAAGACATTTCAAATAAGTCGTCTTCTAACATCCACGCGTATGAGATCTGACCATATGGCCTGTTAAAGGAGGCTTTAGCATGTCTGATGTTGCCTCCAGGCACGGGTTGCACTCTAATAACATGCCAACCGGGCTCTAAAGGTGAGATACCCCCTACTGAGGAATATAGCTAGTCCGACACAGCTTTAAGTGCATAATAATTAAAGCTAGTCATAGAGTCCGGATTAATTCATTTATCAGGTAATATACTGTTCTAATACTCCTAGATTGTGGTAGCCCCCATCTGCACAATGGGATAAAGCCAACTGGGACAATTCGTCTCCAGTAGCATGTGATACGCCAGTTGTGGCTTTCCTATAGTCATCAAAGCATGGGAAATAACAGGCGTACCAGTGAAACCGGTACTAATGTTGAAGCGGGCACTCCGAACGAGCCGCTCCAGTGCTTGGGAGACGGTACGTCGAGCTGCATTATCTGGATAAAGATTAAATTGGACGGCTAATCTAATAGTAGTCTGTGATATTGACATGATATTGCCCTCGGGAGTAAGGTATCAGAGCTGAAAAGCTTTTTTTAGTTAATTAATCTCTTTAGCATGCTTCATAGCTAGATCCGTCTTCCCGAGAGCGTTGCAGAGGAGTGAAAAAATTTCAGTCATATGAATAAGATACGCATTGGCGACCAAGATACTGTCCGTGCGTTCGTTGCTTGGATTCTCTGGAAATGCACTTGGATCAAGCTAATCTCCAAGTTGCTATAATTCCGGGTTCCAAAGGCTATCTGGTGCCCTATCAATCCCACAGTTAATCCAAGTCTGCATGCTCTTGAATTGATGTTGTAGTATATGCTTATCCAAGCTATATTAATATAGATCATTAGGGAGCAGCACAGTTATATCATCCCAAATAACTTGAGTAAAGTGTGGCCAGTTAATTAATATATTAGGAATAACTAAAGGATGTATACCTTTTTTCTTTTTCTCAAGTTGCTCTGCTGCGACATCCTCAAGCCAGTTACTGAGTATGCTGATTATGTCATATAAAAAGCAAGCTGTCGGTGTAAATATTTAGATATTACCAGTCCACCCAAGTCGCTCATCACGCTGCGGGCAGTCGGTCGGGAGGGACATGAAATTTCCATGTATAGATTATATAATATTATTGTATAGCTGGTTCACATGAAAGTTAGAACAGGAAAAGTGGCCCCGCCGTCGCATGTCCGTATATATAATAAGGGCCTGAATATCCTCGGGTGAAGGGCTCTTTTCAGGCCATCCAGAGACTTTAATATATTAAAAACCATGATAAATATACTGTGGTGACCAGTTATGAAGAGTTTCCTCTGAACCAATGATAATATCTCGAGCTTTCACATCCTGGAGTAGCTTAAAGCCTAATTCCCTGTTTTCTATTATCTCAGCATGGCGAAGTCGCAGCTCTTGGCCCTGAACAAGAGTTATAGATAATAATTGTAATTTTCTGACCAGATTCTGTCTAAAATCGAGAATAAGTTTGCTGCTTACACTTTCGAAAGCTCGCTTACAAGATACTATCTCCGTGATTCAGATTGGGGAAGCGTCAGAAGTAACAAGTTTAATCTTCGGCCAAGGGAGGATTTTAGTGCTCTAACAGTTCAAAGAGAGCTAAACAATACCAAGCAGAGTCCAGTCCATTATTTCTTAGTTAAAATCATAGATCTTACTATCATAGATCTCAGAACTTATAATAGGACTGGCGATACACGACCAGGAATCATCTAAAACAAGTGTCCACCACCTGGGCTTGCCTTGGCCGCCTTCGACCTCAAGTTATGTATAGATTTCTAATTCGTTACTATATATGAACTGATGTCCAGGCTGGAACCCGAGCCGCCCAGTGTACCAACCCTCAGCAACTTCCATAGAGAGGATGTTTTCTCCATCAGGAGAAAGCAGTACTGATATATCATGAATACGGTACAGCAATCAATGTTTATAGCTTGTCCAGCCGGGAGCAAGACATTCATCTCCAACAAGACAACTATTTATCCAAGCTTGAAAAACTCCCAAAGCAGTAACATATAGATGAGCACATTTTACCGTCTTAATACTACTTAGAAGTCTGAATTGTTTCCGGAACTGGATAGATCGAAGCGGGCCGTGTGGACTAAGCTGCTCAGTAGTAGTAATGAAGTTTACCTGAAAATCAGTTACTTGAAGGAGAGCAGCCTCCACAGTAGCTGAACGTGACCATGAACTACATGCGTTATCATAGAAAGTAACACTTGAATCCTTCGACTTTCCCTATACTCGCACACGAATGACGACTGATTCTCGAGAGTTCAGAGATCTCGCTGGCCATAATACTAAAACAGATTAGTCACTCTTAACTTTATATTTCTGGGTCTTTGCCTCAGAGGCATATATGACTTCGATCTCATAGAAAGTCTGTATCCATGCCCATATCATTGAGGAATTTGCTTCAAAGCGCCATGAAAATCGAGGGATCGGAGTATTAAGATTTAAACTACTATAATAATACTCGAAAGTCGGTACGCTTAGTATCGGAATAGATATAATTCTTTACATAACCAGACAGTTTCAGACAGAGAAGATATTCATGAGCGTTTATAAAAATCTCATCCGGGATATTTCTCTATCCTCTCTAAGTTATAGTATATTCTCCAGTCGTTAGTCATGCAAAATGATATAATCAATATTTGAGCGACCAGAGTAAACCATATTTTTTTAGATGAATAGAAACTGAAATAAAGCTAGCGTTTCTACAGGTATTATAGATTCTGAAAGAGCATAATCTTCTTTTTTCTTTTTATAGTTAAAATAAAATTATTTTCTTTTATATTTCTCTTTCCAGAAAGTCAAATATATAGTATAGGCTAGTCTAGACTTGCTGTAATCCAATATCAATTATTAATACAGGTAAACAGGGAGGATGTATAGCAAGTATTTATATATATTAGCTCAGTGGCATGCTGTATTTATTTAAGTAAGATATTAAAGAAAAGAAGTATCTACTTAGTATAATCTATAAATTAGTAACAGATTATAAGAACCCTGCAGAATGTGATAAAACAACTAGTATTTCCTGAGCGGGATTATTAGGATGATGTACAGGGATATTAATAGCTACTGATTTCTCAAGGAACAAGTCTATTCTGTGGATATAGATTATTTTTATTAATTCTATACAAACTTATAGTATTTCATGGTTGATTCCTTGCTAAGTTGACAGGCTTTCTACCTTGATAAGTAGATTTTATCACACAGAAGCTGTAAGTAATCAGGTAGAATTTGGGAAAAGAAAGAAATTATTTTTAAGGAATATTATAATTCCTAAGTTATTTCTAAAGGTAAAGTATCTAAACTGTATCTTATATATGAATTATACTAAGACCTATGGCTCTGATTAACAGTCTAAAGCTTATCAGGAAAGTGAGGGGCTTAGCGAAATATTATTTCTAATTAGGCTAGACTATTACTAATTCAGAACTTAAGGCATCCATGTACATGCAGACGATTGCTGATGGAAATATGTTGAGCAGATTAGGCTTCAGGAAAGGACTCCGGTGCCCCGTTCAAGTGCGATATCGAAGCATTTTATAATATAAAATATTATTAGAATATCTCCCACACATTCAGTCCTGTGGGATTGTCTCAACTTTGGATAAGACGGTAACCGGGATTAAAAATCAGGGCGCTATACTTACAGAGAATTCGGCTCATTTCTTAGTCAAGATTAGAAATTATAGCTTGTCTGCTCAATGCTTAAGAACCCGGAAAAACCCTAAAGTAACTGGTCTATATTTCTTTTTGGATTTAATACTTGTCTTAAAACGACTTGCCATGTAAGTAGTCTGATACAATCAATATTTTTTTGTCTTGCTTAACGCCATGACGCCTTCAGGCTTCCAGAGCACCGTTACTATCACGCATATCAGTACAGCAACGGCTATCATCAACATAGATGGCATTAAAATTCTCACCGACCCTTACTTCAGCCCGGCCGGCACGTAATATAATGTTGGTATTACTATGCTGAAGGTTTCAGATAACCCAGCCTTGAGCCTGGCTGATCTTTCCCACATCGACGGCGTCCTTCTCAGTCATGAGAATCATGATAACAACTTGGATATCCTGGATTACCGTATTCTCAATGGGCGTCACGTTCTTATAATAAAAGACAGCGCAAAAAATCTTGCTCCTCGTCCTGACATCCGTGGACTAGACTCTTGGGAGTCCGTGATCCTGGTACTAGAGAATAAAGAATTCACAGTGACCAGAATCCTTTATAGATATATACCTGGTCAAGAGTATACTGGCTTCGCCATCATCTTAGAGAGTTTTGGCGTTAGTTCCGATGGCCTTCTGAATACTATCTGGTTTTCAGGTGATACTGTCTACTTTAATAAACTGAAGGATATTCGGAATCACTGGTATATAACAGCTGCTATTCTTAACCTTGGTTATGTGCATGCTCCTGGTAAAATTCTTCAAATCACTCAGCCAGATAGCAGTAGCACTGATGGGCCTATTCAGATCACTATGGATAGTAAAGAAGGTGCTTGTATATTTCACGAGCTTGGGGCAGACATTCTTGTGCCTATGTACTTTGAGTCTTGAAATTATTTTAAACAACATAGGAAGGAATTGAAGGTGGTAATGGAAGCTAAGGGCCTCTGCAATAAGATGTGCTGGTTGGCTCCTGGAGTCTTTAAAAGAATATTTTAAAAAAAGGTAAAGAGTAATCTACTTTATTTTACGGGGTAGTCTTTCCTTCTCTTCTCTCCCTCGTACAACACATTCATACTCTGACCTTTAGCCTGGGCTTATTCTACTCTACTCAGAAGCTTCTAAGGTCAGGTTGTTCTTTTGTCAAGCATATTGTTAATATATGGATTATTTATTACTGGATCTTTACCGTCAGATTTTTCTCTTCTTTGCTGCCATTATGTTGATCAGGCTTTTGAACTTTTGTTGAGCTCTATTAGAGCAGGGGCAAGGGCTTGTATAAGGATTTAAAGATTATTTAAAAAGATTATTATATCTGATATTGGACCTTTTATATCAAGAAAACATGCGCAAAAGCGGAGATGAGCAAAGTGGGAAACTCGTTTTTTTACAAGTTATCCTGTGCTTGTGGAAGTAATAGAGAATGTCTACTATCATTAATTTGAGTAAGTATGGTTTTCAGTCTACTAGCAGTATTGAAAGGGAAACTTATATTGAGGAAAACAGGCAGTTATTTTAATTTAATGAATTTTAATCCTGATACTAATACTACTAAAGGCCGAAATTATAGCTGAAAAATATGATTCTTTATAATGTCCGTTTTGTGTTTTTTAGATTTGTGTCTGTTTTAAGTTGACTGATGTTACGGATCCCTCCTAGTTAACTCACTAGCAAAGCGGACTTGCCAGGCAGAAAGCGCCGATAAGGGCAGCAGTCGGGCAAAACCAAATACAGTGGTATGTCAACAGTTTGTGTTGCCCCACTGTATACGCTAGTGATCCCGCATTCCTGATATAGTAAGATCAAGGTTATTCTGCCTACCACAACAAAATATATGAAGTCTCTGATCATGAAATCTATATAAATCTATCATATTGCAAAGAATTAATATCCTTATATTAATATTTATGTAGTGCTTCATGATCACACGCTTTGTATGCATTGTTTTAGTTGACAGAATATTTTCGATCTAACTGTATTTGGAAGGCGGAATCAAATTTGGTTAGCGTATAATATGGGGCAACGCAAACTATTGACATACCACTGTAGCTATTTAGTGCAATCGTGAATTGCCAATACAACGCCCGGAACGGCCACCCATCACGTGACCATGGATGGTATATGGTCAAGCATATGGTATACGGCATACCATCAAGGTCTATAAGTCCCATAGTGGTATACGTCAGACCAGATGGTATACAGTTTGGTATACGAAGGATAGGATATATAAGGACACTCTTTTATGTACTTAGCTAGTTCTGTTCTTCGTGCTCAATAACACTGTTTTTAAGTAACCATACGTTTGGAAGCTTAGTGATAGAACACTCGTCCGCACTTACTTACGAATAGCTGCGCGGCACTATTCGGCCTTATTTCTCTTGCCCAAGACCAGTTTCTTAGATAGTCATCAGCCTGATACTCCCTTCAATTCAGTTCGACGGTACGTATACCAGCGAAGCTAAGCTAACAGGGACAGGGAAGCGATCCTAGGGTTTGACAGAAAGTTCAAAAACTATACCCAGATGGTTTATAGAATCAGACTACATTCCTAACATAATGCTGATCTAGCCATCGCTGCTCTTCAATCTTAAGATATGGCTGTTAGTCTACAGGCTCCGCGCAGCACTCCATCCATTATAAAATGGGAAATTGATAATTGTATCCCCATCTTCGATATCTGTACCTTTTCTGCTAGACCCGGTTAAGCTTAGCTCAGATCAGCTGACTTTTATACTTCTGTGACAAAGAGATTACTCAAGTACATGCAGAAATCCTACCGCCATCTATTTTGATTGGCTCCTGCCTGGGGCAGTAAATGATACCTTAGGTAGGCAAATATCTTTATCAGGGAGGCGGTAGAATTTCTCACTATACAAATAAGAAGCCCTACCTGATGGGGAGCAAGCTTTACCTACTAAAGTAGGCGGAGGGTAGGTGAAGTGTGTGGCATGAGCGGAGGCTGGTGTAGAGGAAGCCTTAAACAACTTAGAATTAAGGCGGGTCAGGCATATAATCTAACACAGAAAATGCTTCGCCAGGCTGGAATCAACGCAATCAACAATATATTCTCTGCTACATAAATATTAACTCCTATAATTGAACACTCCACAAATAGACCAAGCCCCATCGTCTGTTCGTGATCAAGTTACAGATCATGAATCAAATACTATTAAATATTACCCTAATGAAATAGTGACAATTAACACCGCAGCAGCGTTTCACAAGCAACCATTAAACAAAACTGTGCAGCGGGAACTCCGGTCAGCAATACTTTTAGCAGACTATACCGTCTTCCATTAACCTCACGGATGCACAGCCTCAGAAGATATCCCGAGATCCTGAAATACAGCATCTAAGAAGAATTTCCCGGGGACTCACAGTAAGGATTCGTGTGATGAACCTTACTATCAAGAATACAGCAGAGACAGAGACCGGGAAGCAGAAAAAGCAAGCAGACACGGAGCTGAACAGTATACTCATCTATCTCTAAGATAAAGCCAAGAAGTGAAACTGAAAGAAACCTTTTAGAAATATCGATACAGCAATTTTTAATTAATAATATGAGAGCACTTCTAAAGCCGCGAGTAGCAACGGACGAAGCCAGCTGTCTTATTATTATTATATCTCTGAACAGACAGAGCTTGTCCGTCTTCTATATTACTCTGTGCTCGCGGAAACAATAGAGCATACCCACCATCATTAACTCAAGTATATACAGTTTCTAGTCTGCCAGCAGCGTCAAAAAAAAACCTACATCGAGAAAAGCAGACGGTTATCTCAATACAACAAATACTAATCCCGACACTACTGAAGACTAAAATTATACCTGAAAGATATGACCCCTTACAATATCCGTTCTGCCTCTCAGATTTATATCTGCCCCAAGTTGACCGACGGAAAAAAAAAAAAAAAAAAAAAAAAAAAAAAAAAAAGAAATACAAGACGATTAAACCGTGGAACAACGTGGAGAAGATTCACTGCCAGGAACTAGCTATATTTAACACTGGCAATCGTCGCTGCGGGATATGCAGCATACAGAATATTAATTTTCTGCCTTCCAGCAGAGATAAGTTTAAAAATTATATCCAGACAGTTTATAAATTCAGACTATGTCTCTGATACATGTGTCCCTACCCTCCTGTATAATGATTGTAATTAGTAAATTAATGGTGATGTCATTATCACAGTAATAATAACCTACTGTACTTCCAAGCGTGCATGTTTAGTTGATTACGTCAGTCTGTAGTGTTATACAGATATGCTGGATCAGTCTTTCTATACTTTTTCTTTTCTCTATCAATGCTTGAGTTCATCTATTTATTCGACTCTAGTCCAGCAGTTGAGTATTTAATAAAAATACTATAAAATAATAAATATTATATACTTATATAATAGTTTGTTCTCTCTTTATATTATGTTACACAGCAAGAAGTTTCTTTATATAATTAATATTATTTTTATTTCTCCTGTTCAGCTCAGATGCCTAATCCTTTACTCTACGGCACTTCATGCAAGATAACCTGGTCTGCTCGGAAATTGAGTATTAATGAATTTATTGACAGTTGGTTTAATAAGTTATATATCCTGGACTCTCTAGCCATTCTTATTATAATTATTAAAGAGAAAATGAGATTGTAATGTAGTCTGCTCTAGTTTTGTATTATAGTATTCTGCTAAGCCTGCTTTAATCTACTGTATAATATTCTTTGATTATTCTAACTGCTCATTATCGGGAACCCAGCCAAGAGTATTAATATCTATTAGATCTCTTATTTCTAATAGCTTTTCTATTAATTCTTGTTCTCGATCATGATCTTTCAAGATGCGTTGGATCTCATTTTCTGAGAATTATACTGGACATATAACAGTACTTGGAGGTTCCATATCATTGACATGCATAGGCCAATTTGTAGAAGCCTGAAATATAGTATATTCAAGGAATAATAAATCATCTTTCCATGGTATACTAAAATATTTAAATAATTTTATATGCAGTATTAGATTCTCCTCTCTCAGTATATCAAAATGATCTGGCATTTGATTTATAATCAGCGCAGTATAATAGAAATGGATGAGATATTTCTGTATAGTTTCTTTAACTATCACCTGCTTGAATTTGTTCAGCTGATTAAAATTGTCTGGTATATTAATCTCTGGTTTTACAAGTTGCTCCGACAAAGGATCATCCTAATTTTAAAAATAATCTGGTATACCAGCGCATAAATAAAGTGGTAAAACAACAGCATGTTGCCAGTTGATAATTCCTGATATATTGTTAGAGGAGTTAATTAAAATGTTATTCAGTGAAAAATCTGGGTGCTGAAGAGTAGGGCGAGAGAAGTAATAGTCTGAAAAAACTTCCAGATAAAATATTAATTTTAAAAATTCTAGAAGAAATTATATATATATTGCCGGCTGTGCTTCCTTGAACTTATATAGCTGGCGTAAATATTGTTTAACATGAAGACGAGATCTGCTAAACTGTTTATAAAATTTAAGTTTATGTTTTGCAGGAGCCTCAAAGGCTGAGCGAAAATTAATTTCTAAATTTATTATTAATATATCTGGACTGTTCGTGCAGAGCAAAGATAATTAATATATACAGATTATAATTAATTTCCAAGCATGCTCTTTCTTTGTACTATTATTTATACTGCGCTGTTGGGCTAACCATAATTTTACTAGGGCCGCGCGGGTTATCTTGCACAGTTAGAAGTATTATATATTATAATTATATTAAGTCTTTACGATAATATAAACTCCCGCTAGCCGGGAAGCGGATACTTATGAATTACTTTTCTAAATTAATTATTTACTTTATAATCTTTACCCTGGCTTTATTATTTATTATAAACTATTGAGTGCTTAATGGCACGCCTTCAAGTTTTTCTATTAGAATATATTCTGTACTGACAGGGTTCGCACGGTTAGGGGTATAAGTAAGAATCTTAAGAATAAAGATGTTTTTAGAGTAAAGAAGATTAAGTATCACAGCTTTACTAGCTATAGTATAATATTCTGGAATAGTAATTCTATATAGTATTCTAGTAATTACTACATAACTATCTTTGAAAATAGTCTGAAGAATCCGATTAAATCCTCCTTCTGTGATCTTAGAAAATGAAGCTAGGTCATTGATATTTCAACTGACAGCATTGTATATAGTATTCAAGAATATATTAATATTGAATAGTATATATCATTCACTCCAACAAAGTTCTTCATTAAATCTAAGGCACCATAGATTTCAGTAAAATATAATCACCAGACTAATTTAAATAAGAAGCAGATGTATACAAGAACTGATTTAATATATATTTAAATAAATTATAACTGTTGTTAGAGCTCATATTCCTCCTCAGTAACCTAGGAATTCGGTATAAGGATTTAGAAAAAAGATTTATAGTCTGCCAGGAAATAAAATTAAAAATATAGATGCTATAAAGATACTTCTATCTGTTAATAAATAGATAGAGATAATAATAATTAATAATGAACCAAGGGAAAGATTATGTCTTTTAAAATTATACTTATAACTTAGCTAATTAGTTATTATTTAAATAATATTTATAATTAGCTGAGTTATGACCTTGCCATGTTAACATACTCTGTAACTTTAATAATGAAAACCGTTCTTATGAATATTATTATTTCTAACCAAACAGCCACGTGTCTGCTGTTCAAGTATGAAATTCTAAATACAGGATAAAAATAATCAGCTCTTAATTAAATTTATTTAGTATTTAAAAATAGAGTTATACTTATTATTTTCTTTCGTACTCCAGCTCCCTAATTTTATTATTCATATATATCTGCTTTGAAACCAATCCATACCACGCGTATACTATGATTGAAAATGTCTTCAACAGACTTGAAGAATTTCACGAAAGTCTTCTACAACTCAAAGATTTTGAAGAAGAAATTAGCACTGTATTATAAAATAAACTTAATATACTTATAGATAAGATATTTATGCTAATCAGTTTTGCTTCTGTTTCCAAGCTTATTAAGTATGAACGGGATTTACCAGTCCGGCGAATCACATACAATGTCAAAAAGCTTTCGGGAGATTATACACCAAGATAGAACAAGTTATTGAAACTAAACTATAATATATAATTATTTCTAATACTCTTTTTTAATGGCCTTTCTTTTTTCCCAGATAAAGAGTTTAATTAGCTTGTAGAAAATACTCAAGAATATCTAAGAAGACAAGCTTTTCTTTTAAACTGGATTCTACGTGATTTTATTCGAAGAACCGTAGTAAAACTGCTATTAAATACAAGCACACGGCCATTCCTTTGAAGTTTGTTTCATTAATAACTGTTTTAGTAAGAGCTAATTTCTAGATAGAATATTATAATACAGAAATTCATCTGTGCGAACCAGGAATCTCACCTGAAACAGAGCATACATGCAGTTCCGAAGCAAGCAGTAAGTTTGTTTGTGTATCATTTATTATACTGGACTAACAGACGCAGATTACATATATCCTCAGAATAATAATATGATATCCAAAAACTATGGACAGAAACGTATGCGGCAATATATAGAAGATAAGAAAGATGTATAAGATAATCAGATAGTAGTAAAGTTAACAGAGCCATCTAATAGAAAAAGAGATAAGAAAAATAATATAATTAAAATATAAAATTAATACTAATAATAAAATAAATAAAAATAAAATATATATTTATAAATACTTCTGTCAACAGTATCTTAGCCCTGCCAGAACAATTTAAACAGGCCATTCAGAACAGCAGTCTCTGGAAATAAGAAAGAAGCTGATAATTAAGTATAACAGAATACTTAATTATGATATTTTCTAAAGATAATTCACAGGATATTTCATTCATATTCTAGTATAATTATAATAATAAATATTTCCTGAATAATCTTTTTAAGATCTAATACGTGCTCTCCTTCTAAAATTTAAAAAAGACCACAGCGCCTTGAATATAGCATGTATATTTTAGTAGTATTTCAAAGTCTTTAAATTCTATCAAGTTTTCTTTAAAGACAAGCTGGTCACTTATTTCTTTATTAATAATTAAAAAATATATATCTTTAAAGAATATTATCTTCCTTTTATTATCAGATAAAAAATAATAGCTGGAAATTTTCTTTTTATATTTAGAAAGAGCCCTCTTCCCTCTCTGAAATATAAAAAATAATTAGCTTATCTTTAATATCAATATAATAAGAGAAATTCCAATCTCCATGGCCAGTAAAAAATATCTGTCCTGTAAATTAGCTGGTATTCACTAACCAAGCGCCAAAGATAAGAATTAAGCAGATTATAACAAATAATATACTTACTGTTTTACTAAATATACGCCTTCCGAAGACTTGGGTCCAAGAAGGGTAAATATAAATTATAAAAAAAATATTAATACAGAAACCGTGAAATAGATATATGGCAAGCGAAAGATCAGGATATATTTATATTCAGATTAGAGTACTTAAGAGCTGAATACAACTGTTACTCTTATATAGAAAATCTTTAATATTATAAACTATAGCACCGTCATTGGCATTTAATAACTTCGAGGCCGGAAATGGAGGGGTATTAGAAAATTTATTAAACATGCATATATTTAAGTTATATAATCTTTCCGGATAAGATAAGAAATAATTAAGAACTTGAATATTCTTCCTTATTTAAAAATCCTAATTATTAATATATACCCGTCGAAGTCTCTAGTACTTGTAGATTAAATAATAATATATATTAAATATCTAGTTATTCCGTCTATGATTTCTTCTCCTCGAGTCTGGAAGAGCTGAAAGAGCAGTAGAAAGATTTATAGACTGAATATTATTATTTCTAAACTCGCATTCGCGAATTTAGATAAGGCAGAATTTAATAATTAAATACTAGATTATAATATCTTTTGTTAATCTCTTTGCAAAGTGATTAATTTTAAAATCTAAACATTGTCTAATATTTACTATTTATAACTTATTTTTATATCAGAAATACAATAATTCTCGATGCCTCAGGTTCACGCAGTTAATTAAGTAAAATAATAATAATAAAAACTACATATAAATTTGGTAACTTGGTGGTTTCTGGAATCCAGTAATAAAAGTATAGAATCAAATTAGTTAATTTCTTTATTAATTATATTAAGAACTGTCTGAACATCCTCTTTAGTTCTGTTATCAGGTATCTTAATAGTAGTTATATTACTATGGATTTCTTCTTTATATTTCTGTTTTTACTGTTTTTAAGAAATTAGTATCTTATTTCTAGAATTCATCTATACTTAGAATTGATGGAACTTTATTTCGTCTTTTTTAATAATACTAGTGTAGTTAAATTGTACTCTTAACTTTTCTAATTCAGGCGTTGTTTTGGAAAAGACAGTTTTATGAACAGGAACAGTTAGTCTTATAAATTTTTTATAATTATTTTATAAGAGAATGTCTTTGACTTTCTTCTATTTATTTAGTATGGCGAAGGGATAGAATCTTAGTTAATTAATTTCAAGTATTATATATAAAAAATAAGAATAGTACTATTTATTGAAATGCTCTGCTATATTCTAGGAAGTTTGGAAAGATGTTTGCTTAGAGAAATAAAGATAAATAATAACTACTAGAATTCTTGATTATTATATATACGGTTATTAATTACAGTTATATTTCTTCTTTTCTAAAAACTAGAAGTGCGTTTTTTTAATTTTACTTTTAAAGTTTACAAGGTTCAGTACTCAGCAGAATTCAGATAATAATAAACATAAAATAGCTGATATATAGGCGTTAAATCCCAAACCGTCGCTAATTAAATATGATAGGTTTATCGTGATATATGTGCCTATGTATAATAGAAAGTAATTGTTTTTGTCTCTCAGAATTAATTACTAGCTATGTAAGTCTACGCGATTTATAATTTATAATTAATATATTATAAGATGACCCAAGATAACTCCTAAAAAATCTGAATCAGACAGATTCTTTTATAGATATATTCTTATAAAGTGGTAATCCCTACTCAGGTTGCATGATTATCAATGTAAAATAAGAGAAAATATAATAATATAACTCCTGTACTGGTTACCTGCCCGTGCCGGCCACCCAGTATACTATCTAATACTTTTCTACATGCAACCACTCTTCCTATCAAAGGTTGTGAATTAAAATAAATAGTATAATGATTCTAGAACGGTCTGCTAGGGGTGGCCGGTGTGACCAGAAATTATATTATAATAAATAAGCTTTGTCAGTAAATCTAAATCATATAAAAATATGTTCTAGATAGTTCCAGATAGCCAGTAAATGTTTTTATTACTTGATTTATTTCAAGAAAAGCTGATAATTTAGCTGTTAATGGAAGCAGGACTACAGAAAAGCAACTCAACGAATACTAACACGTGAATATTCAGTAACAAAAAATCTTGCTAATAGTATAAAATAATGAACGCAATCTAATAAGCTTTTTAACTCAAATATACATAGTTTTATATTGATTCTGAATGATCCGCACGTGGATGCTCAGAATTATATATCTTAGCCCAGGAGTCTTTTTATCTACTGCTATTTTAATATTACTTACTCTGGGATCTAGGATCAAACTCTTAGACCGAGATAATAATTTAAATACTTACTACATATTCTTCAGTTACAGATATTTTAGTCTTATAATATTTCTATTTTAATATTTTTTGATTTTTTTCTTTTCTTCTTCCAGATTATCTCTTCCTATAGCATCAAATGACTTGTTTTAGTATAGCTGGGCATGCAATAATCCTACAGTAGTTTAAAAATCTTTATACAAGCGCGTGTGATTTAGATGATTTGACAGACTGGAACTATGGTCCAGATTATAATCACAGACAGGAATATACTAGCTTTGCATAACCTGTAAAATAAGTAAAATGACAGCAGAATATACCTGGATACAGAATCTATATCTTATAGAAAATATTAATTAAATTCACCTGGTTAGACTGATAATAAAATACTATAAATTCTAAACCTATTAAATTCTCCGCAGATTTCTGATTTTGTATATCTTATATGTGCTCCGGCTATACCTCAAACACCAGTGCTACTGGAGATACATAAGGATCAGCTGCTACCAAGAGTACTTTTTAACAGGTTAAAATCTAAGAAAATAGAGAATACCAGATTTCTATTTATAAGAAGTAAGTACTTCTTGGCTATATTAAAAATTTATTAATATAAATTTAAAGATATATCTCGCGAGCAGGGACCCTGGGATTTACTTATTATTAATAAGATGATACTGGTCCTGGATATATTCTAGTTATATAAATATAAAGATATACTTTTTGACAACTTTATAAAGCTATCTCTTATAATTTGTATTGAAGATAGGGGCAGATCTTGTTACTACAGAATAAATAAACTGATATTTATAAATACGGATTCTTTTTAGAATTAAGAATCACCGGCTGATAGTACTCATAAATTTATATATACTCTAGTATCCCAGTCAGGCTTTGTCTAGTCATTTCGCGACCTGTAATAAGAGCTGCTTGTCCAAATCAAAAAGTTAATATAGATTTTTCTATAATATAATCAGAGACTTATCTATACTATATATCCTTCTTTAACATTATACTAGTATATAACCATAATTGGCGTGAAAAGGAAGCCGGACAGCCTTATAATTATTTATATTTATAGTTAGTTCAGAGACCGCCTCTCCTGGAGTAACTTCAAGAAAATTAGATAACCAGTAATAGCTGCAGTTATATATGCTTGTTAGGATTTCGGAGACTTGGATAATATTTCTGATTCGATCAAGAAAGGAAGACTCAGCGAGCTAAAACTAGCTAGGATTTATAAAATAGTATAAGTTAATTCTGTTAAATCAACTATATTTTAAGAGAGTCAATGAGTACAATACCCTGAATCAGCTATATATATATTATATACATTCTCTTGTTATACATATATTAGTCCAGCATAAATTACCTATTATAGCAATTGGGCGATGTATCTTGAATACCTGGTATATCATATCTTTAATAATTAGTATAATTATTTATCTGTGTCTTTATTTACTTTATAATATAATCCTTTGCTGCACTTGCATAAAATTTCACTTTTAAATAAAAAATAAATATATTTTCATATCTTTATATCCATGTAATCTCCTTCATAAGTGCAGCCAGCTTCCACCTGCGTTTATTTTTATATCATATGTAAAATATTAAGAACTAGTTAATTACATTATCACGCCCTTTATTAATCATCACACTATCATTGGAATGGCTATGGAGAGCGGTTACCCGGAAAAAAACTTATTTATAAAAATATAGTTTATTCTACAA